GAGAGAGAGAGAGAGAGAGAGAGAGAGAAGGATGAAGAGAAATTCTAAGCAAGTTTTCTCATGTGCGATACATAATGAGGAGAGCCAGATGGCGTATAAAAAGCCTACAAATGAAGCTCACACATATACATTTACAAGTTACATATATATTATGCATTGACACATATATTATATACTAACACATATAAATTCTTTAACACATTGGTATAAACTTCTCTCTTTTATAAAAAATATTTTTTTAAATTTTTATAACATTGCACGATCATGTTTACATGGAAAGAACGATTTTGCGGGAGTATTTAAAAATTTAACATACACGCACACATCTGAAAATAATTTTGTTGGATAAAAATTATTATACGTAGAACATTCAAACCAGTTGGTAAAATATCAAAACTTTTTGCAGCAGTATCGTTTATCATGCTTGAGATTCCCAAAAATTATTTTGATGGCCCAACAAAATTATTTTCAGATCTACATCTAGTTAAATTTTTAGATACATCGGCAAAATCGTTCTTGTCATGTAAGAGTAAAAAAATATTTTTTATTGTATTTTAAACTGTATAAAATTATTAAGAAGAAAATTGCGTAATTAATTTAACGTTATTATTTATAATTATTAAATAATCAATTAATGTTGGCTAATAATAGCTTTTTCTTAATTGTTTTAGTTATATCATTTATTACTTTAATTTTTTAAGAATATACATTGATAAATAAAATTTTGAAGATGCTATGTGAAAACAAGTAAATTTTTTAAGGTTTAAGAATCAATTACTTTCCATATCTAAACAAAAAATATATATCGTTAATCTAAAAAGTTCAAGGTACGTGCATTATAAAATATAGTGTATCTTAAATAATGCGTAATTTTTAGTATGCAATACTTAGTATAAATCTTTTAAGATTTTGTTGATCGGTAGTCACAAACGTTGGTAACTAAAGATACGACACGCAATGCGAGAGTCGCGGTGCACGAAAACCAATTAAAGGTGTTAGATCGATCCTCCCTAGTAACTGACTTGTTAGGCTTCTCGATGAAAACCTCAATCCTCATTTATGACGCTACATTTTTTCATGTAATTTATCAGTGAAAAAAACTATTTTAAATGTGTAAAATAATAAGAAATTTTTAATTTAAATTAATAATGAAGCTGTTGACGACATCAAAATTACATTTTATTCCAATTTTAAGTCTTTGTATTATAATTACAATAATAAAAGAATTGTAAGCGCTTTCAAACTGTGTTACTTACCTTGTTCATGATTTGGCGGGGATATTCCCGCCTCGCTAGGGACGGCTCTGCAAAAGAAAAAATATACCTATTACTCCTTTTTGACATACTTTAGTAGAAATATAAAATACTTAAATATTTAGAAGCTTAGGTAAATAAATATCATTATTTGCATATAATAAATATTTAAAAACAATTAATATTAATTAATTTTACTTTCTTTCAATGCAAAATAAATGTTATAACGGAAATTCAATTCGCTCGCGTAGATTCTTTATCGTACCGTGAATAATATAAAATTCTTAGTAAATAATTTATTAACATAAGTCTGCTGCATAATATTAAATAAAAATCAAGAAATTCAATGAAAACATGATCGGGAAGATATCTATTCTTTTTGTACTTTTTATCCGTTCTCAACCCCATCGCCGCGCCTTATGACGCAAGTTAATGCATGTAGGGTGGTCCTTGATCGTGCAGCCGAGCCCCAGCCCTTCCTCTCCTTTCCCTTCGACGGGTACTACCACCGAATTCCCATAATCTAATGAATGGCCTAACCCCAATATCCTCTCGGTTCAGCTTCACCGCCGCCCACCCTTCATATACTATCCTATATGTACCACGCATATAAATATCCTACCTATCCGCGTACACACACCAAGTTCCTTAAAATTCTGCATCTGCTAGCTATAATTGATTTTTTTAATGTAATCGTGACTGCCCTCACTCGTGGTTTCTTCTTGAATGTCATTAAGATGAGAAGTATTATAATTACACAAAGGTAATTTATCGAAAACTTTGAAAAGGTATGACAAATATAAATTAAAGCATAATCAGTAAAAAAAACCATATTGACGATTTATAATTCTATTCGTGAAACGTTGACAGCTAAAACTTATGCGGAAACGAATAAAATTATATATAGCTGTAAAGGCAGCAATTGCTGAGGTATTCTATGAGTAAGAAGCATTAACAGGAACTCACTCTCGGCTAATTGTGCGTTAAATAGGGGTGAAGTCGATGACGAAATTCTTTCGTCCAGAAAATGGACCGGACACGAACTGGCGGTAGTCAGCGTTGATCCCGCGCGGCAGGGTAAGGATGCGCAAATGTGTTTATCTCGGGAAATAATAAAAAGGGTGACCCGAGGTTCGTGACGCGGGCGATCGCAACGAAGTCGGGAATAATGTCTCGGACACGAGGCTCGTCTGCGGATTTACCCCGGCCTCTACCGCTAACCATCCACCCACACTCCACCCCCTTTCGACCTCCTCCAACCTACCCTTATACGCGTGTCCGCCGCAGATTCAGACTCCTAATTAAGACGAGGGTGCGAGAGGGGTTTCAGGGGTTTCTGCCGGGTTCTCCCCTGAGGGGGCAGGGGATAGGTGGCGGGTGTATGAGTAGAAGGAGGGTTTTCCCGAAGTAAGGGGCACCCGTATCGTGCCGGAGGGGTAAGCCAAGGCAAAGGGGGTAAGGAATATTGATCACGGGACCACCACGGCGGCGAGGGACTGCCCGCACTCGCCCTCTGCTTTCATCCACCCACTCTCTCGCCATCTAACTCCTACAGCTTTCTCTTGGCTCTCTCTCTTTCTCTTGGTTCTCTCTCTCTCTCTCTCTCTCTCTCTCTCACTGTCTCTCACCTTCTATACCTTGTTTCCGACATCTTTCGCCGATCCTCTCGCTCTGAAGCGAGCATGGACTGGGCCAGACTAAACCACCAAACGCCAGATGCGTGAAATCAGTCGGTTAGAACCTGCCCCGCAGCCTTTGCAAATTATTGACGCTAAAACCGCGAGGCAGATGATGCCTGTGCGCTGTTTCGTAGTGGACTTTGAATGAAGAGAGTCGGTAAGCTTAACGCTTGCGAAGAAGAGCAAAGTAAAAGCTTCTGGAAAAATACTTCTTTGTTGAATCTTACTGATATAATTAGTTAGTTCGGTCTAACATGATATCATGTACATAATAATGATCTTGTTAAAATAAAATATTCTAATAATTTCGAAATTGGAATGGTTATAATGATTATAATGATTATAATGATTATAAATTATTGCCATTATAGATTTATAGAATATGTTTGAATTCTCTTACCATTTAATGAAACATTTTGCTAACTTTGTGGAAACGTCTTCACATCGTGACAAGGTTTACGAAAGTCGCAATAAGACATGGCCCTCCTGAAGAGAATTTCTGACGCTGGAAATCCGAGTAGCCTGACGAACTTTGACGCACACGCTCGGCCGAACAAGATCTACGCTCTAGACGTGTGCAGCGTTCTCACGAGTTTTCAAGAGAGATCCTCTCGAATAGCGTGAAGGAGTAACTGACTTGGCTCGTTTCAAAGACGGGGACAGAAGATGGAGGTGAACAGGGGGACCAACGGGTGGGCTCGAGTTTACACGACGTAGCGACTCGTCTTTCTACCCGTCGCCTTGCCTTAATTAAATCTCTAGACCCTTCCTGAAGAACCCGCGGACCTGGCGAGAAACTAGAAGAACCGCCCCTCCCTTTCTCGCTCTACAATTCACTGCGGTAACACGTCGTCTTCTATTGGTTTTTGTACGTCATTGTGAGAAATGGGCAATCGCAGTGACGGTGATTTATGCAGAATTTTTATCAACTTGCTTATTTCATTAGCTTAATTTGTTGTACTTAAATATCTTATTTTCTACAAATCATTTCATTATTTTCTTATTTTCCAAAGAACATTTTCTCATATCAAAAATATCACTACTCTGTAAAAATGAGTACCTAAACGTTGCCATTCTATTATAAAATTCTAGAAAAGTTACACAATAATCCGTTAAACTTTTATTCGATAGCGTGAATGTTTCCAGGTAACTAGTTTAATTTATACAGATTTTTGGCAGACAAATTGTTTCCATTCTGATAATTCTCAATGTTGATGAAAGCTGCAAATTTCTACAACGTATAATACATTTTCTCATATACTCTAGTGGCTTCAGATACCGTTATTTGGCGTTGTAACGAACGTCAAGGGCGACCTCGACGAGACCGGAAGAGACCTCATTGTCCAGAGGCGGGGGCGCCGATAGGGAGGGTGCGCAGCAGCGGCAGGCAGCCAACTCAAACTTTGATATGGTTTCCTAAATAACCAAGGCGACCGATACCGCAGCACGATAGTCCTCCTTCCTCCGCCACCCTCCACCTGCCACCCGTTCACCGCCTAGACCGATCTGCGGTGGTCCGGAGAGGGTACTGTAACTACCGCCGAAGCATATTGAAACCCCTCGCACCAACGGTGACCCGACTCGCCACCCCGGGCAACCCCCACCCCGGCCAATCCGCGACCCGCCGTTCAGAACCGATACAGAGACTGCCGTCCGTGCAAAACTTGTGGCATGAGTGCGTTTGTCATTTCGTAGGTAAACGTTACCAACTCGCGACGCAGGCAGTAACGCCCAACGTTTTCATAATGTCGACAGGTAGCGGTTAATTCAGACACGGAGTGACAGGTAATCTGCAAGAGGACCAGGAAGATGGAAAAGGAATGGAGCTTGCGGAACTGGCGATTCTAAAGCCGATCGCGTTAAGTTCCCTCGGCAGGCAGAATATTACAAATCGTTGCACTTGGAATAAGTAATATATGATTAATGGAAATACTGTGTAGTGACAATACAAAGAAAAATGAAGTAAAATATTTTTTATATTTCTTAACTTTTTCATTTTTAAATATGTAGGAAGAAGAAAGTTTAAAATAAAAATGTCACAATATTCTTGTATGTTATAAAAGATGTAGTTTTTCGTGTAAGAAACATTTCTCATCAACATTAAGATCTTTAATAAATAATAATCACGGCAAATTTATTATCGACAATGTGTTTAAATTAAAATTCTTGATTATATTCTTAATATTTTAATATAATTTTATTTACAGCGTAACTAGATAAAAGCAGATGAAAGTGGACGAGAGCAGATAGTCATCTAGTTTACAATTTCTTCCCTCCAGGCCACCAATAGACGCGATGCCTGTATCTCGGAGCTGGCTGTTTGTCCGCTAATTAGAAGCTAACAGCTGAACTAAAGTTCCGAACTTTAAAGTTTCTTGCACTCGCGGAAGCCTCTTGCTATCCATTCAATATCTCCTTTTCGAGGATGGTAGAACGGCCGCCCTTTGAGAGGAACGACCTTCCTCCTTACCTGCCTAGCCGTCCACCTGTCTTCCTCTCTCTATTCCGTTACTCCGGCTACCGGCTAGCGTTAATTACTAATTAATTGTTTCGTGTGTTTGAGTTTTAAATGGATAAGTTAAACAGCGCGTAAGAGCCCCCGACGTGGGCAAGGTGGTATAGCGGCAGTCTACCCTTCTTTTTCCCTCTGTCCGTTCCTCTCGCCTCGCGTACGATTACCGTACAAACAGTGTACTACCGGTTAACGAAGTTAGGATGACCGCGTTAGGGTGGGAGAAGGGAAGCAACGCTCGTTCGTTTATTCGTTTTTCACCCCGTCATCAGAACACTGTTGCCTCGCTTTGCCTTGCCTCACGCTCCGTGCCTCACGATGTAATATCTCCATTACGACGCCAAACCATCACCAGCGCGTTTAAAGTTACGTCCGATACAACGAATACGGATGTAACTTTCATAATACAGCGACTTTGTCAAAAGTTGCAGCTAGTTCTCATAAAATGTGTTATACAATATAGATTTTACGTTGAAATGTAGTCTTGACCCTTTTTTATTTATATGGGATGTTCAGATATCCTATCTTTATTATGTTCAGCGCAAATTGTTTCATAATCAAAAAAACTTTTCGTATTTATTTTTATCCATAGAATGTATAGAATATTATGAATCTTTTTCATTTGTCAATCATAAAAGAATACAATAAAAATTGAAATATAGTGTTGTGGTGTCAAAAACGCAAGTAATTACCCGCGAGTTAAAAAAACTATGCTAGTAATGTTGGAGATAATAGAAAAGAATTCCATTAAAGACTTTAATGCGCGTTTAATTAATGTACGCTTAATTATTGCACAGTACATTTTTATTTAATTAATATTGTTTTGACACGTAACTTATCATAAATAAATCTTCT